AGAGAGAGAGAGAGAGAGAGAGGACATGTGGTAGTATATATAGGAGATCTACAATCCTATTTTTACTAACATTCTCCATGTTCTAACCTTATAGGAGATGTACAATCCTATTTATACTAACATTCTCCATGTTCTAACCTTATAGGAGATGTACAATCCTATTTATACTAACATTCTATATGCACTGCTCAAATTAAAGATCACAAATTGACTCTTTATTATTAGAGCATTAAATAATTTATTAAATACATATTCACTTTAATTAAATTTAATTGTTAATTCAATTAATTCCAACTAACTATATGATAATAATAGAAGAAAGAATATTCATATGATCCACAATAATATAACAATATACAATATTCTTACAATAAGAACATGAAAGGGGAGGAGGTGAATTGAGGTATAGGTTGAGAGGATATATGGGAACATGTGGAGAAAAAATTTGAATGGGAGGCGAATTTATCAATTCATGTGGTGTAAATATCAATAGCCCTACAACAAATGACAACAACATTTAGCAAGATCCATTTAAAGTGGGTTGGGGGCCTGTGTGCTTTTAAAGTTCACACAAACTACAAATGATAATGAGTTCAAAATTGAGCATTAGCCATAAGGGCCCCTTCTGCAACATTCAGTTACCCCATTCCGGCAGAACTTGGTTCCCACAGCATGCCAAAAGAATCTCTACCAACAAGGATTACAGTCCAAAACTCATTTATTAGTAGGAGAATCACACAAAACCGTTTTGTTTTGTTACAACAGACAAAATTGGAAGTCGCATACATCAGAAAATTGTGCTAGAGAACCAAACTCTGATATATTGAGACTCTGTCGCTTAACTCAGCAGAGCGGTTTTGCGCGAGTTGATGGGTCTTCCTTGGACTCCACCTTTATCATAAATACATAGCCAAGAACCCACAGGACAATGTACAAAAGCGGCACCCAATTAAGACAAGCAACAAGACACAAAATGCTCCCGACGTACTGAGGATCCTTAATTACTCCAAACGGAAATTCATTTACCCAAGGGATGGTTTTCCCAAAACGAACACCATAGTAAGTTCCAGACTCCCCCAGCAGCTGATAGACCCTGCATAAACAATTGTGCTCTTCGTATGTCAAATGAGCATGCGCTTTTGTATGTTAAAATGATATTTAAAGACAAGATCATAAAAGCATTCGGTATCCCTAACACATGGTTGCTCTTGAAAAATAGCCATTTGCAGTAGTATTAAGTTAGAGAAACAATAAAAACCCCATATTTAATCTAAAAAAAGAAAAAAAAATCATTTATGTTCATATTAGCAAACATCGGAACTTGAGAGGAACGTAATTTGTCAAAGAGAAACAAAAATCTATGTGATGTTTGGATAGGTTAAGTGTAGTTTGGTTTTTCTTTTCCCTCGTTGCCCTATTTTCTAATAGACTTAGGCACTGAGCATTAAATTTCCTCATTCCTACCCTCACTCACCTATATCTACATACAAACGTCATCAATTTGCATACTAAACGTTCCAACTTTTCCGCACGAAAGTGCAACAAAGAGATAATTGGTCCTAAATTCCTCAAGTACTAAAGGAAAATAGGATAAAAAATGAAAACTGTTTGATAAACATAAAGACATGATGCGTGAAGCATGTATGTAGCAAAACTACAATAAGCAATTATATGAACTTCTCCATATTAGATTAGCAGGTCAAACATGTTGTTTAACATAAGAATCCAATAACAATTAAGCAATTCCTTTATTAACGAGAACAACTGAACTGTACAGGAATTTGGATTCAACGGCTTTCGAATCTGGAGATGCAAGATACCAACTGCACTTCCATTACACATATTCAAACATCATAATCATAAGCTAATTTTACCATGCTCATAAAGTACAATCCCAGGCACTCAAGAAGTTAGCAATGGGCAACTGTAAACAAGCAATACAAGAACAAGAACAGTAATCTTGGTGTGCTACCATCACAATTCTCCATTCAAGATTGAAAAGCTATTTTAACATGATTTGCTTCATAATCAAATTTAATAGAACAGCCTCAACAGTAATCTGTTTACTCGATTCATTAAACCGAAAAGCAGTCAGCCACCAGATACAATATCTCAAACAATAAATGCATCAAAATGGGTTCATAGAGCAACAACTCAAAAGTAACCTAAAATCGAGAGTAGAAAATAAAACACTAATTAGAGCAAGAGAACCTGAAATTGAGAAATTGGCCGAAGAGGAAGAGAGGGTAGAAGTAGAAAGGAGGCGGCCATGAAAGCTTGGCGACGGAAAAGAGTGATATGAACTGGACGATTTTGAGAAGATGCGAAACGAAAGCCATGATTCGGGTCGGGTCACGGCGGGGCCCGCACAGATCGACCCATCTTTGAGGGTTGTTCCAGAGAAAGTAGTAAAATGGAAATGGCGATATCACTCCTATGCATGCCCATAACCCCATTCTTCTTTCTTCTTTCTTCTTTTTTTTTTTGTTTTTTCGAGATCGAACTCTTCCACTGTAGAGCTTGCTTGGTAAAGACATTAGCATCTGGGGCTCTCGTTTTTTCTATTAGGTTGGGCCTCACTGATGTGAGATTAATATATTGGCCCAACTCAATAAAACAACTTATGCCCAAGGACAAACACATCTTGGTGTAATCTTTCTTTTTTTTTTTTTTTTTTTTCTAAAACGATAGATAATCCGGAGTACAAAGTACAAAGTATAAGCCGGAGAATGGGAGCACCACTCGGGGTGGGCTAGATAACAATCGCAACAAGCACTAACTCTAGACAACCTAATAGCAAAGCGGTCACACACAACCGAGCCTTTGCCATAGCCAATCCAACCAGACTAAACAAAACAAAAGAGGACACAAGAAAAAGAAAAGAAACAGAAAAAACCAGGCTAAACAAAGGAAAGCCAAACACAAACAGCAACACCAACAACAAAAAGAAAAAGGACTAGGAAACAAAGAAAGCCAAACAGCTAGCAACAGCAAAAAGAAGAAGGACCAGTCCTGCTTGCCAGATAGCCTTGCCATTGTTGCATTGCCACTTTGATCACCATAGGAGCTGGTCTTCTGATGCCCCCAAAAAGCCAAAGGTTACGAGACTTCCAAAGCCACCAAAGGATATAGGTGGACAGTTGGATACGGGCTTCAGAAGTCTCACTGTGATCTAACTGCAAAATTTGCCACCACCATGATCTGAAAAACTCCTTGGGGCCAAGGCCATCCCAACTAACAGGGGAATGCTTCCAAACCTCTTTAGAAAACCTGCAGTGAAAAAGAACATGTACAATGAATTCAATATCATCTCCACATTGGGGACAAATTACATCAACTTGCATTCCCCTCTGCTCAAGCTGTGATCCAACATGCAATGCCTCATTACAGCATCTCCAAATAAAGTGTTTGACTCGGCCCATAACATTGATCTGCCAACTTCTCTTCCTGATTCTGAGATCAAGATCAGGAGCAGAGCTGCTCTGTTGCTTGCATAGCTTCAAAAACTTACTAGTAATGAGATGAGCATAAGTGGATTGGACAGAAAAAAGACCCTTCTTGTGCAGCTTCCAAATCCACTCATCTTTCTTAGAGGGGTCAATAGTAGTAATGGATAAAATAGCATTGCACCAATCAGCAGGAAAAGTGGTTGTAACTTTGTTAATGTCCCAGCTCTGGCCATCCTCACTCATCAAATCTCTGACCCATTTGATGTTTCTACTAATGCCTGGAATCAGTTCCACATGTTGTCCAATTTTAGATGGAATCCAGTGGCCTGTCCTAGATAAGAGTATTGCAGCCACTTTTTATCTCAATCTGCATAAACTTAGAGCAAGATTCCAACACTTTGAACCAACTTTTCCACAGCCATGATGAGTTCTGACTTCTGTGAGCCTCAAACAGGGAAGAGTTTGGGTAGTATTTGGATTTGAGCACTTTGTTGACTAATCTATCTGGCTCAGAGACAATTTTCGACAACTGCTTAGCAATAAGGGCAGTATTAAACAATTGAATATCTTGAAACCCTAATCCACCATGCTTTTTAGAAAAGGTAATCTTATCCCAATCAACCAAGTGCATACCTCTTTGATTCTCAGAACCTCTGCTTCACCAGAAATGACAACAAGCTTGAGCAATCTCTTTGCATATCCCAACTGGAAGAAGAAAAGTGGACATAGCAAAAACTGGGAGTGCATTTAGGATTGCTTTAATAAGTACTTCTTTCCCAGCTGTTGAAAGCCACTTATTCTTCCAACTGAAAATTCTCTTTTTAACCACATCCAGAATGAAAATGAAAGCATCCTTCTTGGATTTCCCAATGCCAAGAGGTAGGCCTAAATACCTTGTGGAAGAATGCTTCTTAATATCTGAGAGGAGTGAGCAGATGCTATGCTGAGTTGCATCCGGGGTGTTCTTACAGAAGAAGATGGTGGACTTCTCAAAATTGATTTTTTGGCCAGTGAAATTGCTGAAAACTTGGAGAATATGTAACAGCTTCTTAGTGTGAGCCATATCAGCTTTACAGAATAAGAGTGTGTCATCTGCAAACATCAGGTGGGTCAACATTGGGCCATCTCTAGACACTTTAATCCCTCTAAATCTCCCCTCAGTAGCTTCCATAGAGAGTTTGGCAGAAAGCAATTTTGAAATAATGAGAAATAGGTAAGGGGATAGGGGATCCCCTTGCCTAATTCCTCTAGTAGCAGTGATGTATCTACAAATCTTACCATTAAGATTAAAAGAGAAGGAGGGGTTAGTGATACAAGCTAAGATCCATTACACAAAGAGTTTCGAGAACCCCATTCTAAGCATAGTAAGTTGCACAGCTTTCCACTCAACACAATCTAAAGCTTTCACCACATCCAACTTTAGAGCCATAAAGCAATTTTTCCCACTTCTGTGTCTGTTTAAGAAGTGAAATACCTCATGCCCAATTACAACGTTATCAAGCAGTTGTCTACCAGGAAAATGCATTTTGATTTTCAGAGATACATATATGCAAGCATTGTTTAAGTCTTAAGGACAAGATTTTTGAAATCACTTTATAAATGATAGCACAAAGACTAATGGGCCTGAATTGTGTGATTGACACAGTATTAGCACATTTTGGGATAAGAGTAACAAGGTATGCTTCCAATACCTCAACATTGGTTTAGAATCAAAAAAGCTTTGCACAGCAACACAGATATCCTTACTGAGAAGAGGCCAAAAGTGTTGAAAGAAAAGTCCTGTCATGCCATCTTCTCCAGGTGCTTTGTCTAGGTTGATGTTAAAAACAGCTTACTTGATGGTCTCTTCATCCACAGTGGTAGTGAGCATAGAGTTCATTTCCTCAGTGATAGTGCTGGGGATGATAGGCAGGAGCTCATGGCCATCTCTTGAACCCTGAGAAGTGAAAAGCTTACTGTAATAGTTGGTGATGATTTGCTCATCTCCTCTGGTCTGTCTGTCATTCTATTCTGATCATTCAACAGCCTTTGGATGGAACTAATCTTCCTTCTTTGCATAGCATAGGCATGGAAAAATTTGGTATTGTTATCCCCAGCCTTGAACCACAGAGCCCTTGCTTTCTGCTGCCAGAACAATTCCTCAGAGACATTTGCAGCATCTAACTCCTATTGAAGCTTGTCCCAGAGGTCCAAATTTCTGTTACCTCCTGCTTTTCTCAGATCTTCCAGTTGCAGAGTTAATTTTCTGATTTGAGAAGCACTGTTAGAATTGAAGTACTTGTTCCAGTTGATCAATGCTTCTCTAGTCCTCCTGATTTTCTCTTTGAGGATAAACAAAGGGGTTCCTTCTGCTTGTTGACCCCAAACTGTGTGCACCACTTGGTTAATTCTCTCCTTCTGCAGCCATCTTTTGTCAAAAAGAAATCTTCTTTTATGCTTGAGTTTATCATCCCCTGTGTTAATGACTAGCATACAATGATCTGATGAGCTTCTAAACCAGCTGTAACCTTAGTATTAGGGAATCTCACTTGCCAACCGAAAGAGACAAACATCTTGTCTAAGACTTTCTCCACAAAACCCTCGCCCACTCTATTGTTAGCCCAGGTAAAAGGCATTCCTTTTAAGGGAATTTCTTGCACTCCCATCTGAGCCAAAAAGGTGTTAAACCCCCACAGACTACCAATAGAACTACAGATACCTCCCCCTTTATCCTCAACTGCACAAACATCATTCCAGTCACCAGCAAGAAACCAATCTTGACCCCATCTCACTTTCTCTTACAATAGGTACTGCTACTAATCAGCCCTTTCTGCTTTTATAGTGCTAAGGTGTACAAAGATTGCCCAACAAGTCACCCCCTGATTTCTGTCCTTATAATGGACAGCAACAAAGAAATGATCACCATAGCAGTGCAAGATCTCTATTTCAGAATTCCAAAGAAGAAGTAATCCACCTTTAGACCTACAGGCCCAATGAGAAAATGCCTGTCAACAAAGCCCAACTTAGAGGTCTGGGTGGGCCCTCTACAGTTCCCCAGATCAAGGAAGCTTTACAGCTCCACCACCCTCATTTCTTTTTATTTCTGAATTTAAAAAACATCTTGGTGTAATTAATATGCATATAGTTGTAAAGTATTAAACTAGTACGTAACCCCATCCGAGGCACGGATTGTAATTATTTTGATAAAACTTGTAATTGAAGTTCATTAATCAATAAGTTATAATACGTAGAGAATTTGTGACGTAATCATAAAATGTTCGCCATGAAAAATGTCATACACTATTAAAAATCTCATTATTTTCCATGCATAATCATTTTGCACTTGGCAACTGTCGATCGATTTTTACCAAGATTTCTCTCCACTTGGTAATCGCAAATTGGATAGACACATCATTCCTCTAATTCTTTGTTGATTTTGGAATGTTAACATCAGGAAATAAAATTAGGTTGCTGGAGTGGGTCGGGTGCCCGGTGGTACTTTTTCGCTGTGCTGGTCTTAATCTGGCTGATGAGGAAGGGTTATGTTAATTTAGTTCTTCTTTTTCGTATATTTGTTGGTTGGGTTTGTTCTTGTGTTTAGATGTAGCTTTGTGTATTTTGTGGTTTGGTGTTGTATTCTCTGTGCTTTGGGTTGTTGTGTTCTTTATGCTCTGGGTTGATGTGGTCGTGAATTCTCCAGTTGGGAGTAGACTGTTCTTCTGTTTGGATTTTTTTGTTGTTCTGGTGTTTGTGCGTGCGTTGTGAGTGTATGTTTTGGTGTTCTAGGCCATACTTTGTGTATGGTTCTCTCTGTGTATTCCACTTGTATTAGGGTTTTTTTTTTGCCCTTTGTGTTTTTTAATGAGAATATCTATCGTTTGGGGAAAAAAAGATTTTAAAAAATCTGCTAAAAAGAAAAAATACACTGAACAAAATCGTTACCATAAAAGAATAAATTAAGTTATCATTTAAATGGTTTGATTTTGAATAAATTCAAAATGTACACAACACAAAATCATAGACTTTTT